CTCGGCGCGGTCGCGCACAAATGGACGCCGCGGCCGCCGCGGGGCCCGGCGAGGAGCGGTCGGCGCGGACATCGGCTCGCGGGGGGACCCCTCCAGGGCGGCGGACGGGGCGGGGGGCTGAGACCCCGGTGTCCCGGGAGAACCCCCTGCCGGGTGGGGCCCAGGTGCGCACGAGTGCGGCCGCGAAGGCCAGGTTTAAACCCGAAAGTCGGAAATCTACTCACCCTCCTGTGACCTTTCCTCCACGCAATCCGCTTCCGGGTGTGCGGCGCACGCGCGCGGTCGGCGCGCCCGTCAGGGGGCGGGGCGTGCGCGTGGGGCGGGGCTTCGAGTCGGGGGCGGGGCCGAGAGGGACGTGGGTGACGTCAGCCGCGCCACGAAGGCGTCTTTCTTTGGGGGAGTTTTGCAAACCCCAGTGAGTCACTTCCTCTGACTTTTATTGGGTTTTCCAAAGAAGCAGTACATTTAAACACTGTTCCCCCAAAAGCAGTATATTAAAATACTGTGTCCCCCAAAAGCAGTGTATTTAAATACTCTTTTCCCCCAAAGCAGTATATTTAAAGACTGTTCCCCCAACCAGTATATTTAAATACTGTGTCCCCAAAGCAGTATATTTAAACACTGTTACCCCAAAAGCAGCATATTTAAATACGGGTCCCCCAAAGCAGTATATTTAAAGACTGCTCCCCAAAACCAGTATATTTAAATACTGTGTCCCCAAAGCAGTATATTTAAACACTGTTACCCCAAAAGCAGCATATTTAAATACTGTTCCCCCCAAAGCATCATATTTAAATACTGTTTCCCCTAAAAGCAGTATCTTTAAATATGGTTCCCCCCAAAGCAGCATATTTAAATACTGTTTCCCCCCAAATCAGTATATTTACTGTTCCCCCAAAGCAGTATATTCAAATACTGTTTCCCCCAAAAGTAGTACCTTTATACGGTTCCCGAAAAAACAATATATTTAAATACTGTTCCCCCAAAAGCGGTATCTTTAAATACTGTTTTTCCCCAAACCAGTATATTTAAATACAGTTCCCCCCAAAGCAGTATATTTAAATACTGTTTACCCAAAATTAGTACAGTTAAATACTTTCCCCAAAAGCAGTACATTTAAACACTGATCCCCCAAAAGCAGTATCTTTAAATACGGTTCCCCCAAATGCAGTTTATTTAAACACTGTTCTTTCAATAATTGATCCGACTAGACACAATCAGCAAAACCAGAATATTCAAGACATGGCGTCTTCAAACACGACCATCCTCTTGGATTTAGGGAAGATTTACAGGCGGGCAGGCAAACAATTGTAAAACGCAAATTGTTTTCAACGGTACACTCTGCCTTTTCTTTTAAATTTCTTTTAAATTCTGCTCAAGATTGTGAATATATTCAAATGATTGAAATGAATGCCCAACAGATAAGATGTGCTTTAAGCCAAAGGCAGTCAGGTGATGGGAATCTGTTTATAATCCCCTCATCATTAAAAATTCTAGGAAAACAAACTTTGTAGAAGAGCAGTACGGGCATTCCTTGTATTTCTTTCAATGTGTTTTAATATTTTTCTTAACTAATGCCCAAATCTATTGCCATTTCCCTTGGGTCCACAATCAACACTTGTCACAAGAAGTCAAAAGGCATGTTGCAGAAAATCTGCTGTCGAGGACCTCTCCAAAGTGCTAAAGAGCAACGATGTCAACTTGAGGACTAAGGTGCGCGTGCTCTAAGCCAGGCATGGTCTTTTCAATTGCTTCCAATCAGTTTGAAAGTTGGACAATGAATAAGGATGACAGAAGACTTGATGCCTTTGATTTGTGGGGCTGGAGGAGAGGACCGAATATCCTATTGCTGCTGTTGTGTGCCATCAAGTCAGAACCGATTCATAGCTGACCTACCAGTGGGTTTTCAGAGACAGTAAATCTCCTGGCAGGAGATTTCTCCTGGCATCTTTCTCCTGAGGAGCAGCTCGTGGATTTGAACAGCATGCTTTAGGGTTGGCAGTGCAACTCCTTACCACTAAGCCACCAGAGCTCCCTAAATGTCCTATGGGCTGCTGGAGAACTCACAAGTCTGTCTTGCAGGAAGTTGGGTGCTTCTTACAAGAGAGGGACGGTGAAGCTTTGCCTCACATACTTTGGGCATATTTTCAGGAGGGGAAAAAGACAGCATCCTGTGAAAGGGTGAGGGTCAGACAGAGAGAGCAAGACCCTCACAGGGATGGATTGACGCAGTGACTGAAACAATGGATTCTAACTATGTCAGCGATGGTGAGGGGTCTGCAGGTGGGGTGGCTATGAGGTGTAATCAGCCTGGTGACTCCAATATTCTATCCTAGCCATTGTTATTGTGGTTATGTGCTGTCGAGTCTCTTGTGACTCATAGCGACCCTATGTACAACAGCCCTAAACTCTGCTCTGT